ATTGCGTCCAGTCGTGCCTGAGAATGTCGACTGAGTGTTGTGATAATAGCGGCTGCTTCCACGGGACGGTCAAGCGAGTTGAAGGGGTTTGCTAATAGTGTCTTGCAATTGCTCGAGGGGGAAGTCGCCTGCAGAGGCCCCCTGCTGCGTGGCCGCCGCTTGGCGCGTTCAAGTGGCTCTTGAGAAACCGCGACTAGTTGGACACGCGTGTGCGTGCGTGTGTGTGCACCTTTGTGCGACAAACTATCAGTCAAGTGGCATTTAGGTCAGCGAGTGGGAACAGCCGCCTGCGGATATGGATGACATTGGAGGACGCGGCATCCAGCTAATGGAGCTAGTTGTATAAGCCAACCAATAATTTTTGGCCCGATTTGAACCAATCAGCTGGAGCCCATCATATTCCCATTTTTAGAATAGTTTGTGATACAATATTTTGAGAGGGTATAATCGGTAGCATAGTCCAATCCTGCCCAGATTTGTTACTGATGCCTACAAAGCGTACAGCGTGAAATGCGTAGGAATTCACATCATACTATGCTCTATGCCAATCCACCATGCAAACTCGTCCAAGTAATCTTTAGACTATTTGAAAACGGATTAGAAGTTTTCTGTCGATGTTTCACGTGTTTCAGCACCTACTGAGAGCTAACAGCTATATATTATCCGGGCACCGCAGTTTCCTTTCTGAATGATTATATACCTTTCTTTTCTGCCCTGTCACCTTAGGTATCAATTATTTCGTTCTTTTTGTGTTCAACTGCATGCCGTACTAGCTCGTTTGCGCTTGGAGTCATTACCTTCCATACACCAGCCTAAGTATACTACTTGTTATGAGTGAGTAGAAATAAATGTTCACTATTTCCCACTAACGGAGGGCTGCTAACTTTTCGCCTGCAATCATGCGAAATTTGAATTTTTCTACTGTACCGCTGCCGTACTAGCTCTTTTTCGCTTGGAGTCATTACCTTTCATACCCATCCTCTCATTCCTATCTCCCATCTTAGCCTTGACGTGACCCTCCTTAAAACCGCCCCAACTCCGTGGTTGCGACTCCTGGCGGACGTTACAGAGGAGGAAAGGCTTAACGTGCAATACGATGAGACAACTAGTGGCAGTTCTAGGCTGGGCCAAACAGACACTGACGCCGGTCAAATGCAGGGAAATTTCAACGTCGAACAGTTAGAGGATGTCGATATGGCCGACATTGATGGCGATGCCGG